CACTCTTATCCTGGAGAGAACTGCTCGTAAATTTAGTGTATGTTCGATGTCACATGTCCATGGACTTGTAAAAAGTGTCGTAGTGTCCATTAATCTGTAAACTTGAAGCTCTAAAGAAACAAATGTGGTCATTCAAGACCGGAATACAGACAAGGATGATTGGGCTGTGAACACTGTCGTAAGCGACGACGTAATCTCAATCTATACTGATGGCTCAAAGACAGAATCTGGGAATTAAATTTCGAAAATTCGACCATACATATATACTTGCACGGCCATGCATCAATCAGTTGTATTTAATCATTGGCTCAACTGACACAACATCACGTTGAGTCGATATGGGTTCTAGGACATGGGGGCATCCGGGGAAATGAAATATCTGATGAATGCGCAACCAAAGGGTCGTCCCTAGATTTAACCCTTGCGCAAAAGATATTTACACTCCCCTGGTGACCCTATCAAAATTGATAGATGACTGGGCTTTGAGTGTGACGGAACTCAGGTGGTCAAATATCACCAATTGTAGAATATCGAGACATAGGTAGGAACGTATGGGGTACCCACGTTATAACTACTGAAGAATCTGTTTGGGCGAAGAAGAAGTGGAATTGGTACAAGACCTTATACGTGACTGCCCAGCCTTACAAGAGCACAGACTACTCTATCTTGGTAGAGCTCTTATCCACGATCTGCACTGTCTTAGAGATGCGTCACTAGTAAACATTATAGGCTTTATTAGAAACACCGGCTGGTTTTTACAAAGACCGCAAGAACTGCGTAATCAATGAAATTAGGGAGAGAAACTATTCTCTAAACATAAGGGAATGTGAATTCTAATGGTATCACAATGGGCCACAAGGCCTCCAAATGAACTCGCTAACAAGCGAGCAACCTACGTAGCCTAACCTAACCTATAGCGAGGGAGCATAAGAAATAGCAGGAAGCTAGAGTGTGGTATGTGGAGAGACTAAGGTCTAGAAAAAGTGTTGAATAAAAAAAATTAAACAGACCCTGCATTAGCGCTTCATATAGCGGTTCCTCACAATCGCATACAACACTCTTACTTACAATTTTTCAATAAGATGTTGTTTTTTTGTTGCACACCTTAATTTTTTATTTCAGAAAATTTTGTTAATTTTTTTTTTTTTTGGTAAAGACGAAGACAAAACAAATTGATTCTGCATATATTTCATCTTAAATAATTCTTACTTTTGATTTTTTTTTGGCTTTAATGTAAAAAAATATATAATATTCATATGTATTGCAGAAAAGCAAATATTCAAAATGAGGCCACAATAATAAGCTACTTAATTTGTTTTTGTTTTCTGTGGAAGTTTTATCTTTGTTGAATTTTGGCTTTTGTCGATTAAAATGTTTATTTTTTCTGCGCTTCAGATTGCGTCTGTGTATCTGAGTGTGCAGTTTTTTTTTGCAACAGATGAAGTCAACAAACAGCAGGTAAGAAAGAGCATTTAGCGAAAATTTGCATTTACAGCCACAGAACAGTGGGTTGTAAGGTGGTGGGGATTTGAGACAATAATTCTCACGTTATAGTACATTGTAGGTGTAGGATTTGAATACAATATCTTAATTATACATTTAAAGAAAAACCAACATTCTGAATATAAGTTATAGTTCCGTATATAACTAACTATGAAGTTTTAACATAGTTAGTTCTAATCGAATACAAATTTTTAAAACTTAATCATTATTTGCAAATTTGGTTGAACTTAAAACTTGAAAATATACAGATATATTAAGTTTATTGACATCATCTAGTCCCCTAAACAAACGTCCCGTTTTTAAGTAATTCATAAATGTTGTATGGCCAGACATGGTATGTGGAGTGATGGAAAAAATTTTCCATTTATGGACTTGTTTGTGAGGCAACCAACTTTTATTTGTCCTCTAAAAAGCTTTAATACTTGCTCTGAAGCGAACAATAGTTTTATGTTTTTGGATTATTGAAATTTGTTGAAAGAAAAAAACTTTTTTATAAAAACTAAAATTTATTTCATTTGAGTAGGTAGTTATTTCACAAATCGTAACATCACATTATCTTGAGAAAATTTTAATCAACTAGAATAGCTAAGCAAAACTCTAGTACAAATGTTCCTATTCTATTTTAATGGACCTTTAAGGCAATTAGCCCAATCCCGCGAAGATCTAGACTTTCTTTTCGATGATATAAAATCACTGGCTGAAGTGAAGAGGTTGCCGACGGCATTGGTATTCTTCTCAACTTCTAGAAATACTGCGAAGAAGAGGAAAAGTGTGGTCTGCGCAGATTTAACTTAACATGGATGGATATAGAGGAGAACACGATTTGCGTTAAGCATGCCTGTATTCCACCTTAAAAACCTCACTGATCATTGATCTATTGGTAAACTTGCTAAAAGGTTTAAACTACCCTATAATGATTTTTGTGGAACCGGTGACGTGAAAATAACTGGAACATGCCATTTTTCTGAATTTGAAGACAGAAAGACTTCGTTCACAGAATATTATCAGCATTTCTCTATCAGAAAGAAGACGAAAAAAGTTCTTTAGTTAGATTTATTAAGACAACGAAATGGCTTGAAAGCATCGTATACTGATTTTCATGGAACTGGTGACGAGAAAATAAAGGGAACATGCAATTTCTCAGAAATTGAACGCGAAAAGAGTTCGTTTACAGAATACTATTAACACTTCTTTATCAGAATGAGATTTAGTCAATAACCACGCCTTAATAAAGGCAACGAAATGGCTTGAAATCGTTGTAAACCAGACCGTAGGAATAATTAGTGTAACATAATTAACCTAACCTATAAGCTTAAAGCTTTAAGGAAACGAATGACTATTGAATATTCTGGATAGGAGAAATTGAACTTACAGTAAGGCAACTTTTTAAAGAGCTGTGATGTGAAGTGTAGTATTGAGAAGCATTGTAAAGAGTCAAAGCTGAAGTATTTTTGGGAGAAGAGAACTAGCAGAGGTGTTGGAAATAGAAACAAAGTACTGACTGGTATTAATGATGAATGAAGCTTTAAGGGCAGAGTACTAAACCCAAACTTAAAAGAGTTGGCATAGAAAAGTTAGAGGCATAATAAGTACATTGCAGCTGCTGAAGGAGAATAAACTTTCAGGATCAAAGTATTGCTTGGAGGGGGAAGAGAAAGTATATTCAGGAGCCAGCTTAGAAGGTACCAGAGGGGGGAATCGAAGCTGGAAACATGCTTTGGAGATAGAGTATACATAATACAGACCGACAGTCTGTGTGTCTATAGAAATGCTGTTATCAAACTATAGGTCACAATCCATTGAAACTGGTTGAAATCAGCGCACTGCTACATCTATAACATGTACAGTAAGTGCCGGTTCACAGAGGGAAACTTGTTTTGGTAAACTTTTGGTTTTTGTTTGTGAGGGAATGAAATCTTTGATATTTCTTTCTCTTACTCTCACACACAAAATCAAAACGTTCCCAAAAAGAGTTTCCCTATGTGAACCGGCACTAAGGCCCCCTGAATTTGGAATTTTTAACTCATAAATGAATACTTCCCAACTAAAATTGGAGCAACTTTAAACAGTCACTAAAAATTGAAAGAGTTTATATTGACCAAAAGTCCACATAAGAACTTTCCGAAACTCAATTTAATAATACAGGCCAACTAAACGTTAAATAGTTACTTTTGTTGAAACCTAGAGGCCAAAATTTCTCCATCACATCGCATATTGGATATATCGTGACCTAAAATTTGGAAAACCACCGTTTTTGGTGATATTTGAAACGTTATAAAATCTATTATTATGTCGCCTGAAAGTCCAATTTGTCAGCTTCAAGATTCTAGTCTTCGTAAACTCCAGATTAACTATAAATTGGTATTTTCAAATAGTCTGGAATATGTTTTATTAATCCAGAAATAACCTTTAAGAAATTCCATATTTACTGGATCACATCACCACGATTTGACGGCCAAAATATTTTCAATTACATAATCTATAACTAATCTAAACGTTAACATGTTAAGCAATTCAAACCACTGTGCATGGTAGTAATTTAGTGGGAATACATGAATTTAATGTTACTGATACTCAATGAAAGTGCATCCATAAATTGTATCTTAAATATTTTGTCACTTTCTTTAAATAAAACAAGTCAACTTTTGTGTGCGTTTTCATTTACGACACGTAACGAACATTAAACCGACCACTTAATACACTTCTAATTAATTAATTTGAAAAGGCATGTTGCTTAAAAAAGATTTAAGTAAACTAAGGCCGAATATACCTCGATCGTGAAAGCAAATGAGCAGATTTGTAATAATTGGAAATAATTTCGGGAACACACATATAAGTTAAAGTTTGATTAACCACTAAACCACATAACCAAATAGTTCAAACTTTTCCCTGTAGGGTATACCACAGTATCAAAGTCAATAGTCTGTAAAATTTTGTTTAATCATTATATCAGTTGGTATAAAAGAAAGTAGACTTACATTGAGCCTATTTAGTGTAGTTTCATATTTTGCAATATAAAGTAAAGTTAAACTAAAAGGTAAATTTCTGTAATAATATAAACTTAAAAAATATATAAACAAAGTAACTTTTAAATATTTACAGAATATGGGTGAATTGCTTCACATGTTATTAATTAAAATTGTATTACTATGGCTCATTAGTCTACCCGCCTCAACACTGGCCAGTACAACACCCATGTCAAATGAAATTAACCCTACAAAGGCAGAAAAAGTTTATGTTCGTACTTCGGATTTAGTGTTGAGAGAAAATAGTGGCATACCCTTGATATATCATTTCATCACCGATTATCCTCATCCACACATACCCTCTAATAACTATATAAAACCTTGGGAAGTGGTGGCCTCAAAATCGATAAGAGTTAAAAATCTGGAAGGTGTTAATAGTCGAATTTTGAAAAAGAATAATATTTTGTATTTAGCTAAAACAAATGAATCGGAAGAGAATAAAATAAATAATTGAGAAAAAAGCCGGAACTGTTAAAATTTTTTTAGATTTTTTATTTGTTGTTGTTTTTTTGGTCTTTAAAGGGGATTTAAAAGAAATAGTCTCTTGTTTAAGGTTTAGTATACATAACCACCATCAGCGGCGTATTGGGTATCAACACCAGAGGCAGCAGCTTGTGGAGCAGAGTAGCTGGAGTCGGTGTAGGAGGTAGAGTAAGAGGGAGCTGAGTAGGAAGCAGCAGCTTCAGGAGCAGAGTAGCTGGAACCAGAGCTGGAGTCAGAAGAGAAGCTACCACGGCTGCTGAAACTAGCAGAGCTATCGGGAGCAGAGTATTGCTGGGAAGTGAAAGTGGAAGCAGCTTCAGGGGCTGAGTAGCTAGAATCAGCAGTGTAGCTAGTGCTTTCAGGAGCGACAAAAGAAGCAGCACCTATGGGAGCCGAGAAGCTGGAGCTAGATTTGTAAGAGCTGCTGGCGGCGGGAGCTTTGTATTCAGTAGTCTTGAAGGAAGAGAAAGAAGCAGCACTTTCAGGAGCAGAGTAGCTAGAATCAGAATCGGAAGAGAATCCACTGCGGCTGCTGAAACTGGCAGAGGTGTCAGGGGCAGAGTATTGGTTGGAAGCGAATGAGGATGAAGCTTCTGGGGCAGAGTAGCTGGAATCAGATTTGAAAGTGCCAGAGCTGGTAGAAGCGGGAGCTTGGTATTCAGTAGTTTTGAAGGATGAGAAAGAAGCAGCACTTTCGGGAGCAGAGTAGCTGGAATCCGATTTGAAAGAGCCAGAGCTGCCGGAAGCGGGAGCTTGGTATTCAGTAGTCTTGAAAGTAGAGGCAGCGCTTTCGGGAGCAGAGTAGCTGGAGCCGGAATCTGAAGAGAATCCACTGCGGCTGCTGAAACTAGAAGAGGCAGCAGGTGCAGAGTATTGTTGAGAGGTGAAGGTGGAAGCAGATTCAGGAGCAGAGAAGCTGGAGCCAGATTTGAAAGAACCACTGCTGGAGGCAGGAGCCGAAGCATAATGTTCATGTGAGCTGCTGGCTGCACCATGGGGTGGCAAGTATGTTCTGTCCAAGTGGCTGACATCGGCGGCAGCCAAGGCAACGACAGCGAACAAAACAGCGGTGAAGAATTTCTATAAGAGAGAGGATGAAAATTAAAGAATGTTAGTAATTGCCTAAATTTGATGAATTTTAGAGGAACCATAGACTTTTTTCAGCTATTTTAATTTGTTATTTTTAGAACACTATATTTTAGTAATTTCGAATATTGCAAATTTTTTTCTAGATTTTGGATTACGTCACAAAGTTCCATTTGTATTAAACATATAGTTAAATTTTTTTTGATGGTACTTAATTTTTAATGAAACATAATTTCGTTAAACACTTTTAATGATTTTTTTTTAAATCCTTTAATATTTCTTAAAATCACTAACTAACCATTTTTGTAGAAGTATTGCTTTCAAGAATGAAACTACTGATACTGATTTAATAATTGTCATACACTTGATATTTATACTAATTTTGTTTAGAACATGAATTAGAAATAGATATTCTAATTTTCTTGTTGTCTATTTTGCACTTTTTAGATGCGTCTAGTGTTTATTTTAGTATTTTGGTTAAAACTTGCTCTATTAAAGTTCTCAGACATTGGAATCTTTCTTTTGCTAACTGGGCAAATCTAAGATAACAACTTTTTCTTCTAGTTAAACTAAAATATGTTAATTTTTTTCGTTTACCAACAAAAATAATAAAATATTTTGTTTATGTTATGTTTGCATATATAATTGCAATCAATCTGAACGGAAACCGGAATTTGTTTAATTTCGGCAAAAATTATTAAAAACTGCAAAATAATTTTGTTTATATTTAAATGGAATTTTTAAATTAAAACCCAGCAACCAGTTATCAGAAGTTTGGGGTTTAAAAAGTATGTTTTAGAGGGTAAGCAAATCCTTTGGAAAGAATGGGGCAATGTTGCAAATGATGGCTTCACTAGAACCCTTGTAAATTGTTTAGTTCTTCCGTTCCTGCATCTACATGTGTATGCTTTGTTTTATTTCCTTTTGCAATATATGGAAATACATATTTATAATGGACCCAATAGTTTTCCAATACAATTAGAAATTTGTCATAGGAATATTACACAACCGTTACACAATCTAACTAAAGAGAATCGAATTGAACCTAATTCATGAAGATCTGAGGAGGGATACTGATAATGGAACTACATGTTTTAAAACTTTATATACTCAAGGTAAAAAAGTTAAACTATTTCTTAAATCTATTTTTTCAAGCCTCGAGACTATTTAAATACATGTTTAAACATTTCCCTTCTAGTTGGCTTACTCAGGAGTCACACTTCATTTAAAACTTTTAATTAAAATATCTGACTCAAAACTGTTTAATTTCTCCGTCATAACATTACTAAACATGGATTCACTTTGATTTTGAACCACATCATCTAACATTGATTGTTTCTAAACACTCATTGGAATGAAGAGCAAACAAACAAGAATCGAAGAACTTCGTTATCACTTAAACTGCTATATAGTTATTTGTATAACAACGTTTTGCTGGGTATTAAAATGTTTATGAATTTTTAACTAATCTCCAAAAAATATTTAATAAATGAAAGAAATAAATTATTTGTATCAATATTTTTAAATTGTTTTATTGTCACTTTTGATTTTCAAGTTTAGTAAACATAACCACCATCGGCAGCATATTGGGTATCAACACCAGAGGCAGCAGTGTGTGGAGCAGAGAAACTGGAGTCGGCGAAAGAGGGAGCAGAGTGGGAAGCTGCTGATTCAGGAGCAGAGAAGCTGGAACCGGAATTGAAAGAACTGGAATCGGAGGAGAATCCACTGCGGCTGCTGAAACTGTCAGAGCTGTCGGGAGCAGAGTATTGCTTGGAGGTGAAAGAGGAAGCAGTTTCAGGGGCAGAGTAGCTGGAGCTAGATTTGAAGGAGCTACTGGATGAGGGTGACTTGTAGTCAGTAGTCTTGGAAGAGGTGAAAGAAGCAGCACTTTCGGGAGCAGAGAAGCTAGAGTCGGATTTGAAGGAGCTGGAGCCAGATTTGAAGGAACCCGAAGCGGGTGCTTTGTATTCAGTGGTCTTGAAAGAGGAGGTAGATGCAGCACTTTCAGGGGCCGAGTAGCTGAAGTCAGAATCGATGGAGTTGGAAACAGGTGCCTTGTATTCGGACTTTTTGGAAGAAGTGAAGGAAGCAGCACTTTCGGGAGCAGAGAAGCTGGAATCGGAAGAGAAACCACTACGGCTGCTGAAACTGCTAGAGCTATCAGAAGCAGATTCAGGAGCAGAGAAGCTAGAGCCAGATTTAAATGAACCCGAAGAAGAACCAAAGCTAGAAGGAGCCGATTCGTAATGTTCATGAGTGCTGCTGGCAGCACCATGAGGTGGCAAATATGATCTATCCAAATGGCTTACATCGGCGGCAGCTAAAGCAACGACGGCGAACAAAACAGCTACGAAGAATTTCTATAATAAAGAGAAAAAAGAGAAATACATATTAATTAACTGCGATATTGTATAATATAACGATAAAACCTCTTGATATTTATTTAAATATTTTTTGTTAAATATTTATTAATATTTCAGTATTAAATAAATTATGCATTGATATTTTAATAAACATTAAGCTACTGTTTTAGATAAAAATAAAATTTGCACGGATTAATTAGCTGTTTATGCTAATATGACTTGCTGAGGGAATTGTTGTATACAAATTTTGTAGGTCCGATTAGACTAAGTATTTGTATTATTATAATTAAATTTTTGTTAATAACAACTATTTTATAAATTTCACTTTTTCAATATCAATCTTTAAAAATTCACTAACCATTTTTACTAATGGAAGTACTGTTTCTTAGAATAATACTACTGATACTGATTTTATCATGTTTCATCAATTCTTATTTATATAATGGCAAAACCTTCTAATTTTGGCATTAAAAATTCACCTAATAACTTATTGTTTTTCTCGATTGTGTAATTGCACATGTGGCATCTATTATCAATTATTTTGATTTAAATGAAAGTAAATTTAACAAAAAAACTTGATCCATTAAGCTTCTCAAATATTCGTGCCAAAAATTGACAACAACTTTTTCTTCTGCGAAAAAAAAAATAATTAATTAATTTATCAAATAATTAAGAATGTCATCTATTAAGTCATTAATTTGCAATTAATACATGCATGGCATTTGTGTTAAAAGTTAGATATTTAAGATAAAGAATACACTGTTGTTGGTATTATTATCAGGGAAACCAAAAAATTTTATTTAAAAAACTTATTTTATGTGCATTAAATATGCGGGAAAAATAAAATAACAAATAAAAGTTTTAATAAGGGTTTTCATTTAAACGCTTAAGTTTCCCATTTGTGCAAGTGGGCACAATTACAATGATCAATTACAATATTTATAAACATTTTACAGCAATGTCCAACGAAATCAAAAAATAAAAAATAAATTATTTTAACAAAAATTTGTACAAAATATGCTAAAAATGTGAATATGCAAGTCCATAATTTCAAAAGTGAACAATAGTGAACTAATAAATCTGTTCACTATTGTTCACTTGCACAATGAGTTTGCTCAAGTTTGCCAGTGTAAATAGTCGCTCAAACTTATAAGGGTTGTGCAAATCAATTTTCATAGAATTCAATTGCAAGAATGGAAACGTGCACAGGTTGCACAGTTTACGAGGGTTTTGAACGTTTAGTTAGTTAGTTAGTTAGTTAGTTAGTTAGTTAGTTAGTTAGTTAGTTAGTTAGTTAGTTAGTTAGTTAGTTAGTTAGTTAGTTAGTTAGTTAGTTAGTTAGTAGTTAGTTAGTTAGTTAGTTAGTTAGTTAGTTAGTTAGTTAGTTAGTTAGTTAGTTAGTTAGTTAGTTAGTAGTTAGTTAGTTAGTTAGTTAGTTAGTTAGTTAGTTAGTTAGTTAGTTAGTTAGTTAGTAGTTAGTTAGTTAGTTAGTTAGTTAGTTAGTTAGTTAGTTAGTTAGTTAGTTAGTTAGTTAGTTAGTTAGTTAGTTAGTTAGTTAGTTAGTTAGTTAGTTAGTTAGTTAGTTAGTTAGTTAGTTAGTTAGTTAGTTAGTTAGTTAGTTAGTTAGTTAGTAGTTAGTTAGTTAGTTAGTTAGTTAGTTAGTAGTTAGTTAGTTAGTTAGTTAGTTAGTTAGTTAGTTAGTTAGTTAGTTAGTTAGTTAGTTAGTTAGTTAGTTAGTTAGTTAGTTAGTTAGTTAGTTAGTTAGTTAGTTAGTTAGTTAGTAGTTAGTTAGTTAGTAGTTAGTTAGTTAGTTAGTTAGTTAGTTAGTTAGTTAGTTAGTTAGTTAGTTAGTTAGTTAGTTAGTTAGTTAGTTAGTTAGTTAGTTAGTTAGTTAGTTAGTTAGTTAGTTAGTTAGTTAGTTAGTTAGTTAGTTAGTAGTTAGTTAGTTAGTTAGTAGTTAGTTAGTTAGTTAGTTAGTTAGTTAGTTAGTTAGTTAGTTAGTTAGTTAGTTAGTTAGTTAGTTAGTTAGTTAGTTAGTTAGTTAGTTAGTTAGTTAGTTAGTTAGTTAGTTAGTTAGTTAGTTAGTTAGTTAGTTAGTTAGTTAGTTAGTTAGTTAGTTAGTTAGTTAGTTAGTTAGTTAGTTAGTTAGTTAGTTAGTTAGTTAGTTAGTTAGTTAGTTAGTTAGTTAGTTAGTTAGTTAGTTAGTTAGTAGTTAGTTAGTTAGTTAGTTAGTTAGTTAGTTAGTTAGTTAGTTAGTTAGTTAGTTAGTTAGTTAGTTAGTTAGTTAGTTAGTTAGTTAGTTAGTTAGTAGTAGTTAGTTAGTTAGTTAGTTAGTTAGTTAGTTAGTTAGTTAGTAGTTAGTTAGTTAGTTAGTTAGTTAGTTAGTTAGTTAGTAGTTAGTTAGTTAGTTAGTTAGTTAGTTAGTTAGTTAGTTAGTTAGTTAGTAGTTAGTAGTTAGTTAGTAGTTAGTTAGTTAGTTAGTTAGTTAGTTAGTTAGTTAGTTAGTTAGTTAGTTAGTTAGTTAGTTAGTTAGTTAGTTAGTTAGTTAGTTAGTTAGTAGTTAGTTAGTTAGTTAGTTAGTTAGTAGTTAGTTAGTTAGTAGTTAGTTAGTTAGTTAGTTAGTTAGTTAGTTAGTTAGTTAGTTAGTTAGTTAGTTAGTTAGTTAGTTAGTTAGTTAGTAGTTAGTTAGTTAGTTAGTTAGTTAGTTAGTTAGTTAGTTAGTTAGTTAGTTAGTCTTTGAATCGACGTACAATAAAAATCATTCAATTCTATATTTTGGTTTCCCTGCTTACACAGGCCAACGAAATTAATGTTTTAACTATTTCCTACAGCAAATTTTTTTTTTACGTTTTATGCTTAACTTAAATGGTTTGTTGCTGTACATATGGCTCTTTATTATATACTTATCTCAAGCTTCCAGAAATATTACAAACATTAGTCTCCGAAATTTGTACAATTCAGATATCAGTCTGATATTATCAGGCACCGTCAATATGGGAGAGATGTCGACCTAACTTTTTACTACTTTAATCCCTTATTTACTGTCTATGAAATACGTGAATATTTAAAAAAATATTTTTTTCCTAGTACTGAGGGAAATGTGAACCCTTGGGCAAAATTGTTAAAAAAAAACAAATTTTTGGCATTTTGGATTAAAATTTTTGGAAATTTCGGGAGTTCCGTTGATTTTTTATGGATTAATATCATCATGAACAGATAATTTTGTATAGTGTCTGCTGTTTCTCTTACTTATTTTTCGTTAAGGTTTACTAACGAAAATATCGGCGATTTAAACTAGATTTTCCCCTGCTTAACGATATTGGTATAAAATTGCAGTACAGGACAAATACAAATTATTTAATTATACAAAATTTTTAAAAATTCATTTATTTCCGTTTATAAAATTTAAATCTAATATACATAACCACCATCAGCGGCGTATTGAGTATCGATACCAGAGGCCGAAGTTTGTGGAGCTGAGAAGCTGGAGTCGGCGGAGTAAGATGGAGCAGAGAAAGAAGCTGCTGACTCGGGGGCAGAGTAGCTGGAACTAGATTCGAAAGAGCTGGAAGCAGGAGCTTTGTATTCAGTGGTCTTGGAAGAGGTGAAGGAAGCAGCACTTTCGGGAGCAGAGAAGCTAGAGCCGGATTTGAAGGAGCTGGAGCCAGAAGCGGGGGCTTTGTATTCAGTGGTCTTGAAAGAGGAAGAAGAAGCTGCGCTTTCAGGGGCAGAGTAGCTGAAGTCAGAATCGATGGAGTTGGAAACAGGTGCCTTGTATTCGGTTTTTTTTGGAAGAGGTAAATGAAGCAGCACTTTCGGGAGCTGAGAAGCTGGAGCCGGAATCTGAAGAGAAACCACTACGGCTGCTGAAGCTGGCGGAGCTATCAGGTGCCGAGTATTGTTCAGAGGTGAAAGTTGAAGCAGATTCAGGAGCAGAGAAGCTAGAGCCAGATTTGAATGAACCCGAAGTAGAGCCAAAGCTAGAAGGAGCCGATTCGTAATGTTCATGAGTGCTGCTGGCAGCTCCATGAGGTGGCAAGTATGATCTATCCAAATGGCTTACATCGGCGGCTGCCAAGGCAACAACGGCGAACAAAACAGCGGTGAAGAATTTCTATAAAAAAGAAAAATTTTTAATAAAAATATTTATGTTTAAAATCATTACTTCTTTTAATCCACTAACCATTTTTGTTAAGGAAAGTATTGGTTGTTAGTTTGAAACTACTGATACTGATTTAATAATTGTCATTCTCTGGGTATTTATACGAACTTTTTTTAGAATAAAACATTCTAATTTTAAAATTAGATAATAAATCACCAAAAGCGATTGGTTTTTGTGATTCTACACATATTTTGTAGTTATTGATGCGTCTAGTTAGCATTATTCTTATTTATTTAGGTTAATTAAATAAAAACTTGCCGCTATTAATTAAAGTTCTAAAACACTTTCATTTTTTGTGAAAAACATTTTTTTTCTGCTATCAAAAAATATGCAAATTTTTCTAAAATTGTTTAAAATGCTAACAAACAGTTTTATTTGTTTTAATTATTGATTTGTAATAAAAACATTTGCTAACATGTTTGACATTGGACCATAAATAATATCTGCATTAAAGATCTTGTTTAAAGTATTTTATTTATAAATATACTAATAAATATCCTCTCTACTTTCATTGAATGCAAAATCGATGTTTATACAAAAACACTATAATTGCATGTAGGTCCCTAAATAAACCTATAATTGAGCAAATATTAAAAATCTTTGATCACTCATACTTGTCATACAAAATCGACCATCATATGAAAAACTTAAAATCGACTTTATAACCGTTATAAGTGTTTTAAGTGAGTAAGTATCAAAAATCTGTGATCACTCATAATTATATGGAAAACCTCCAATAGGGTCTTGCTTCTTAAATAGCGCTTCAATTGAGTAAATAGCAAAAATCTATAATAACTCATATTCACCGTCAAAGATAGATTAATAGGCTATTGCTTACCTTCGAAAAGGGTTCCTTTAAAGCTTTAAAGAGTTAACACTCGTTCTATTGAACTGTTCTGGAACTAGTTCATTTATCAATGATTTTTCTTTGATTTTGCTACCATCAGATCGAATACTAGGGTACTAGAGTTCTATCTTATATACACTTCACCATGATGTGCTAAAAAACAATCAGCACGAATTTTATTACAAAAAATCAAAAAATACCAATTGTAAAATGGTAAGGTACCAAAAAGTCCCCTTAATAAAGGCTCTACATGCATAATTTCATGTAAAAGTAGAAAATTCAAAAAGTATTTGTATAACGAAAAGTACCAAAAAGTTCCCTTTAATGTGTTCTCGTCTAATCCAGGGTCTACATACTTAATTTCATGTTTCTAGCTCCAATATTATAGAATATTCAAAAAGTACCTTTTGGAGAACGAAAAAGTACCAAAATAGTCCCCTTGTGTTCTCGCCTAATCCTGATTTTAAACAGCGTTCTATTCGATCGTATTTCCGATTTCCCAGATATCTGGGGTCTTCTGAAAACTGATTTCAACATACACACAAAGAAACAGACAGACGGACATGGCTAAATCGACTCCGCTATCTATAAGGATCCAGGATATGTATATACAATGACATATATAATGACAAACTTATATATACTTACTTATACAAACTTATACTTACACAAACTTATATATATATATACTATAGAAATTACAAACGGAATGACAAACTTATATATACTTATGCCCTTCTCACGAAGGTGAAGGGTATAATAACATTTACAACTTTTATAGAACTATTTTAGAAATAGTAATTTTTTTCATCAATTTTTATTTTCAATTGTGGAGATTAGGACCAGTTTTTTTCGTTGGTACAACTACATTTAATTATTTTATTATTTATGAATAAGGCTGTTACAACATTTTCCGATAAATTCGTGAATATGTTCTCTACTTAGTCATTCATATGTTGAGTATTTTTTGGGGTAAACAATATAATTTTCACTTGTTTTCTAAAGAGATTTTTGCTTTTTCATGTAAGTTTGAATATGAAAATGGCCAATATTATCCATCAAACAGAAAAACAAGAACATTATTTTTCATTAAACTAATGTATTTATGCTTATTGTCGTTTTCAAAGTCAACTCCGACAATGATTGGATGCTATGACAACTCCGACTGATTTGAAAACTATATCAGAGTAAAAGAAAAAACTGCACAAAATATGTATTTATATATCTTTTATAAACATGTTTAAAAATTGCTTTATTTTCGTTTTTGTTTTAATATTCAAATTTAGTATACATAACCACCATCAGTAGCGTATTTGGTATCAATACCAGAGGCAGCAGTTTGTGGAGCCGAGAAGCTGGAGTCGGAAGAGAAGCTGCCACGGCTGCTGAAACTGTCAGCGGTGTCTGGAGCAGAGTATTGCTTGGAGGTGAAAGAGGAAGCAGATTCTGGGGCGGAGAAGCTGGAGCCAGATTTGAAGGAACTGGTGGAAGAGGGAGCCTTGTATTCAGTAGTCTTGAAGGAAGAGAAGGAAGCAGCACTTTCAGGAGCAGAGTAGCTAGAGTCAGATTTAAAGGAGCTGGCAGCGGGAGCTTTGTATTCACTGGTCTTAAAGGAATTGAAAGAAGAGGCGGTATCAGGAGCCGAGAAGCTGGAGCCAGATTTGAAGGAGCTGGAAGCAGGAGCTTTGTATTCAGTGGTCTTGAAGGAATTGAAAGAAGAGGCGGTATCAGGAGCCGAGAAGCTGGAGCCCGATTTGAAAGAGCTGGAAGCGGGAGCTTTGTATTCAGTCTTTTTGGAAGAGGTAAAGGAAGCAGCACTTTCTGGAGCAGAGAAGCTAGAGCCTGATTTGGAAGAGCTGGAGTCGGAAGAGCTAGAGTCGGAAGAGAATCCACTACGGCTGCTGAAGCTGGAGGAGCTCTCAGGAGCAGAGTATTGCTTGGATGTGAAGGAGGAAGCAGATTCAGGAGCAGAGAAGCTGGAGCCGGATTTGAAGGAACCAGAGGTGGAGCCGAAGCTTGAGGGAGCCGATTCGTATTTTTCATGAGTGCTGCTGGCAGCTCCATGAGGTGGCAAGTATGTTCTATCCAAGTGGCTGACATCGGCGGCAGCCAAGGCAACAACGGCGAACAAAACAGCGGCGAAGAATTTCTGTAACATTGAAAAAAAAATAATTATTAAGAATGATTCCAGTCGTATGAAAGGGAAGCTTTGGAAAAATCCAATAGTAATCCATCAAAGTAATTTAGTTTGCTTTGATTGAAGTGTTCCTTTTGGGAAGTTTCTAATAGAGATTTTCCCATTGTTATGTATGTATTTCACTAACCATTTTGGCTAACTGAAGTATTGCTTTCTAGAATGAAACTACTGATACTGATTTAACAATTGCCAGTCTTTGGATATTTATACTAATTTTTTAGTTAGAAATAATGTTTTTGTACTTATTGATGCGTCTAGTGTACAGAAATGTAAATATGACAATAACTTGCTCCATTAAAGTTCTCAAATATACGAATCTTTCACTATCCAATAACAACTTTTTCTTCTATTTTTAAATTGTTTACTAAACAAATAAAAAAATATTATTTAAGCTAAGTTTGCATTTATAATTGCAAGCAATCTGAACGGAAACCGGAATTTGTTAAAATCCTAAAATCAAAAAAAGATGGAAATAATTTGTTTAATTTAGTTATTGGCTTTGCAATTAATACTAAATAACCCAGCGACATTTGTTCAGAATTTTGGCAATCGATTTTTATTATCTCGCACTTTGAAGTTTCGACTTATTGCCATAACATGGGTTTTAAATTGTTCGTTGGGTTATTTGGTTATTATTTATTTAGTGTGTTTAATTTTAAGATGCTCAACATGTTTATTTCATCTTTCACTTCCACTCACAGATGCAAAATATTATTTGACACATAAAATATTTAATTTTTGGTTGGTGTACATTATAAAAATTTATTTAACATTTTTATTGCTTATTTTTTAATTTATGTTGTTATTTTTATGTTTAACAAATTATTAAAATAGTTTTCTATCACATTAAAATATTAAGTATTCAGTTTAGTTTAATTTATTAAAATTATATTCAATTCTATGTGTAAAATTAACCATTTTGTTGTTATATGTTTTCTTAGATATAAGAATATTTTTTTAAGATCTCTTAGACTTAAACGTATAAAGAAACAATGTATGTATTTATGGGAAATTTTAATGTTTTAAAAACTTTGATGAATGTCTTTAAGATTTTAAAAATTGCAGCAAATTTTGTTTGTCAAGTCTTAGTACTTCTCATTCTATTGATTAAATGAAGTAGTATTAAACACTCTCGCCAAGTAGTGAGAGGTAATACTAAACAAGTTTTTAACAAACCGCTGGTGGACTTCGATCTAATTGCATAAATAATATAGTTTAGATTTTAATTTAATTCTAGTATAATTTAATTGGAAATAAGAAGATGCTGTTGGGATTTTCCAAACATTTCTATAACACATGCTTAATGTGATTGTATACTGTCCAACACTCACCCTCGAATGACTTGCAAAAGATACTAAGTTAGATAGACTAGAGACAGTTCAACACTCTCCCCCGATTGACTTGCAAAATATACACAGGTGGCTATTTTTGAATATGATTCTCCTGGATCATAAACAAGCTCTTTGCTTAAGTACTCGAGCTGTGTATTATCATGTTGTAGTAACTCGACATGAGAAGAACACCTGAATACTCCAAAAAAGAAGAGGCAATCAATAATAGTTTTCAGTTAAGAGTGCGCTAGAATATGCGATGGCTAATCACTCGTAATATCGAATAACTCACTCCAAATGGATTACATAAATAAAACCATGCTAAACTGGCCCTTTAATTTGACAAGAAAGATTTTTACGCCACGAAATGTAGATATTCCTGATAGGAAATGGTAATTACCTCAGTGGACAGTAGACTATCATTCACATTATGACAACTGTTGAGGTGGCAACAACACAGGAGGCTTCTCCAAAAACATAAGACATCGTTATAGTACCAGCATAACCTGTCTAGGGCACTCAAAGGAAAGTTTCTACGAAACTTAACGCACTTACATATAACTGATCCATACTTCTTGTATAAAGATCCTCCACGGAATGATAGACAATTATTGGTGTTTACCTGACAACAGAAGGGTGAGGATATACCCATTCGATTCAGTGTATTCCTTCCACGTGGTCGCGTAGCTTCATCGCCCAGAAATATGTTGAGATTACAACGGTACCGAAAGACTCATCCCGAAATACAAATATTTACATACATCAGAACTTTAATTAACCATCTATTTCCACGATTTAAATTTCAACTGCAGCCAACCGTACCCCAAGTTACTCCAATTATAACAAATATAAAGGGCATGTCCAGATTTTAGGTCTCGCAGACCAGAGCTATTGATAGCAACTCTATACCGAAGGATTGCAATAACACCAAGGTAATAGCGGTTCACTAATGTAACATCTCCTTTGAGAAGGAGTTCAAATAGGGAGGAGTGCTGCTGGACTAGATTTAAGAGACTAAGTATAAGATAATCCTTTGTATTGTTTCGAAAAGAAAACTGATTATAAGTCGGAGTAGTTGCTGTGGTCCTTTCACGTGGTTATGCAGCTTCATCGCCATGAAATACATATGCACCGAAAGACAAATATTTATATCAGACCCACGATTTGAATTTCAACCGCAGCCATCACGAGCACCCCAAAGGCACCTCAACTATAACCTGTACAGGCCAAGTCCAGATTTTAGTCTAGCAGACCAGAGCTGTTTATAGCAACTCCATACCGAAGGATTGCTAATAACACCTAGGATAAATCGGATCACCAATGTAATATTGGCTAACAACTTCTCCTTACAGTGGTGGCGATCTTGGATTAATGATGTCTCTTTAGTTAAAGATTTCGTGAGTAAGGTGATTGCGGATCAAAGAATTTTAATTATAGATTTTTGTTTAAAAATGTTAAAATATAAATTGTCAAAATCTGACATCAGTGGAAATCATTGCTGAACGGCAGTTTTTTCATCATACACAAAAACTTTTATAAAAACAAATATCTTACTACAAAGTCTTGCTCTTCTTCTACTGCTACAACTATTCGCAATATTTTTGTATAAAAACTATAAAGCATAACTTAAGGCTAAAAATTATCATGACTCAAAACTAAACAAATTTAACCAAGCGTTAAAATTATGTATGAACAACTATATATTAATTTGCCTTTCAAACTTTTAATTTCATATGAAAATTAATGAATCCGATGATGCAATCTAATAACCATTTAGCGCCTTCAATTAAATATTTCTAATTTTGTCTTTGACAATCTTCAATTAAAACAAAGCCGAATTTTAAACAAAAAAATTAAAAACAATTCTTTTATTAATGGAACTACTTAATTAAATGCGTTCGTTATAAAAAATTATCCTAAATGAGAAAAACAAATTATAAACAAGTAATAACAACACGAAAAAAATGCTAATATAAAACAAAATAATAATGATTAGAATTGTGTCATGGCGCAGCAATTCTATTAGTGATCACAACTTTCTTTTTCAAATTGAAAGAATTTCATAGAAATTCTTCAATTAGAATTTACGGTAGACATAACCGCCATTCTTGCCATAGACTGTACCAATTTCAGGGGTTGGTGCTGGGGCAGCTGGAGCCGGGGCCGATGTGGGGAAACTGATCTTTTGTGGGGCAGGTACAGAGTATTGTACATTTTGAGGAGCAGCGGATGTAGAAACGGATTGTTGTACGGGAGCTGGAGCAGAGTAGGATTGTTGTACTTGAGCAGCAGGTTGGTAGTTATAAGAACCACTTTCTACGCTTTGTTGTACTGGAGCCGGGACAGGAGCAGAGTATTGTTGTTGTACAGGAGCTGGGGCAGGAGCTGAGTATGATTGTTGCTGTACTTGTCCTTGAGCTTGATAGTTATATGAACCTGTTGCTACAGCAGCGGAGGAAGTGCTGACAGTTTGTTGTACTGATGCAGGAGCAGAGTATTGTTGTTGTACTGGTGCAGGGGCAGAGTATTGTTGTTGTACTGGAGCAGCAGGTTGATAGTTATAAGAACCACTTTCTACGCTTTGTTGTACTGGAGCTGGGGCAGGAGCAGAGTATTGTTGTTGTACAGGAGCTGGGGCAGGAGCAGAGTATTGTTGTTGTACTGGAGCTGGGGCAGGAGCGGAGTATTGTTGTTGCACTGGAGCTGGGGGCAGCAGCGGAGAATAATTGTACTGGAGTAGCAGATTGGTATCTATAAGATCCACCTTCTACAGCAGCTGATTGAGATTGTTGTACTGCAGCAGAGTAAGATTGTTGTACAGGAGCTGGGGCAGGAGCAGAGTATTGTTGTTGAACAGGTGCGGGGGCAGGAGCAGAGTAGCTCTGTTGAACTGGTGCGGGAGCAGGAGCTGAGTAGCTTTGTTGACCAGGAGCAGGATAATTATAAGCACCATTGTCTACGGCGCCAGTTGATTCAACACCTCCGAAGGATTGTTGTTGCTCATTAACTTCAAAAGATTGCTCTTGAACTTGACCGGCAGAAGAGTAGCTTTGTTGTACTTGAGCGGGAGCAGAGTAGGTTTGTTGGGGAGCTGGGGCAGGAGCAGAGTATGATTGTTGTGGTACTGGGGCTGGAGCAGAGTATGATTGCTGTTGTTGCACGGGAGGGAGATAGCTTTGTTGCACTGAAGCTGGAGCAGAGTATCTTTGTTGCTGTACTGGAGCTGGGGCGGGAGCAGAGTAAGATTGAACTGGGCTGGGAGCTGGAGCAGAGTAGCTTTGTTGCTGTACTGGAGCTGGAGCTGAATACTGTTGTTGTGGTGCAGGAGGCAAATAAGAGCGTTCAGATTGAGCTGGAGAAGAGTATGATTGTTGTTGTTGTTGTACTGGTGCAGGAGCAGAGTACGACTGTTGTTGTACTGGTGCAGGAGCAGAGTACGATTGTTGTTGAACTGGTGCAGAGTAATGTTGTTGTTGCTGCTGTTGTTGAACGGGAGCATTATAGTTGTAAGATCCAGCAGCTTGAGCATTTGAATGGCTTTGTGAACCAAAGCTTTGTTCTTGCCCCTGAGTTTGTTGTATAGAAAAGCTAGCTACTGGCACGGAAGCTTTGATCGATTCAATTTGAGCATGAGATTGCGATTGACTATAACTCTGTTGACTATAGCTCTGACCTGCCGATGACTGTTTAGGGTGTATAGGCGGCAACTTCGGTAGAAGCAGGAGCAGGATAATTATAACTGCCTAAATGGCTGACATCAGCACAGGCTAATGTGGCCAAAGCAGCCATCGTAATAACAAAGAAAGTTTTCTAAGAAATAAAAAGAAAAAAACACAATATCAATAACACTGTTGTCGAATTTCAAGGTGATATATTTGTAATCCATTCATTTAAAAGCTTCACCAAATATTTATATTTTTAGGCACTTTTCTATTAAACTTAAATATTTTATAAGTATCTTTTGTTAAAGTATAGTTTTTTTAATTGTTTTTATAGTATAGTTTTTAATAACTATTTTTTGTTATTATTTTTATATTATCGTTTAATAACTGACCATTTTGTTTTAAATTTGCTTAAGCACGGTTACTTTTTCGGTTGTACAGCTTACAAACGTTGAGTTTATACTGATGATCCCTCTCTGGTGTTCATGACAATTTATAAGCCATCATCTTCATTTTTGGTCAAAAAGGTTTAATACTGTCTTCTGGCCATTTTCTGTGCGTGTGAATAAGTGTGTGTGATGTATTTTTACCATTCAATTTCTTGAATGGTTAGTTAAATGAATGAATACAATAGTCTGCAGACTAGAAAACGTGAGGGTCTCTCTAACGCATGCCATTATCATCGTCATTATGATCAACTTTACTTGATACGCGTGCTGCTCTGCCAGCAAAAAGACCTAAATTAGTGCAAAAGCTGAAGATAGCAAATATTCGTGTAAATCGATCGAAACTTAAACAACAAACAAAACTCTCAGGGTCTAGTGCGGTAACACGCGCAGGCGTTGCACTCTCAGGCGCCCTCTTAAAGTCTTTGGTTTTATATGTTGTCTATTGTTTCTAATAAAACATAAAATTTATCTCAAACAGCAATTTACTTTCGTCCATAAAAGCAACAAAAGAAAGATTTTGATCAGCTGTTTTAGTTCACCTCCAAATCAAATTAACACCTCTTTATAAGCCTTTTATTCATATATGCGAAATAAAAAACTAAAACAAAGACAAACTTAAAATCCAATAAATCTTTAAAAATTTTTAAACAAATAACCATGTTGATAACATATTACTTTTATGTTGCAGCAACTATGTATATAGCTTGCCAACATATTGTTCATTATTTGTACAATATTAATGAGTTTCTTTGCCTCTCCACTTTTGTATTTAATTTGTAAGATTAATTATTGAAATTTGGTAAATAATTTTTATCTTATGCAAATACCTTTTTATACATAATATGTATGAAAACACATAAATATGTATATGTTTTTATATTTATTTAAAATTTTAACGTGTATTTTAAATCTATTTACCTGAATATGTGAAACATAAATGTAAGATAATGTGGTGATTCCGTAGTAGGCCTGCAATTAAGTTGATGAGCGCATTGTTTTGAAGTTTTTCTTTCCTACTTAATTGTGTTATAAAAAAAATTACTATAAATCATTTTGAAGAAGTTTATTATGATGGTTTTTAATAGAGGCCTCAATTAAAGAAATGTTATTGAGATCTGAGACAATGATTCGAATTTGTGTTGATTGAAAGATATATTTTCAAGGGCCTACGCGAGCTTGTTTGTTCTACCAAACTTTTAAAGACTTCTGTAAAAATGGTAGTTTATTAGAAATACTTAAATTGTGTAATTAGTGTTCATTCGTCATTTACAACATATTGGCCAACGATTTGGACGCGAGAAGAAACCGAGTTCAAGACGTTTATCATATGTATGTGACGGTCTATCAAGGCTCTTAACTCCCACGCAATAAGATTTAAATATATTCTCAATTGCATTTACTGTCTTTAAAAATTCAGATGTCACTTTTTGAGTTAATATGGAGTCCATATTAAATCATGATATGAAGACATTCGATATTAATATCCCAAAATAATCCGAAATTAATGGATCTTTGGCTGGGCAACGATATTTATCAATAAATGGAGGTTATTTTTGTAGCTAAGTTAAGTTCGTTGCTATAATAAATGCCTAGATGTTACCCAAATCCCTTTTTCACAGACAGGTATTGTTCAAGAGTGTTCGATGACCAAACTTTTCTGTCTTAATTCATGAAAAGAAGCAGGACAATAACAAAGAAGATGTTCGTCTTCTTCGTATTTAAAGAAAACCATTGACCAATGACCAGTTATAACCACTATGAGGTTTCTGACAGGGAATCATTTAGGTTTCTATCCATTATGGGCAAATCTCTTTGGTCTTTGTATAGGAGCTTCTCGGCTATAAATTTCATAGTTAACTTCTTCTTCTTCTTTATTGGCAAATATTAAAATTTTTTTACATTTATAATATTTATATTACAATCCATTTGGATCTTATGACATACGTAAAATAGATTTCCCATGTGATTCGATTTTCAGAACTTCTTCTCCAATTTCGCACACCAAGTTCGGATAGAGCTCCTTTACTTGATCTTTCCATCGGAGAGTTGGCCCGTCCTCTTCTGCGTTTTCCCTCTGGGAAATATTCGAAGGATTTTCTCGCCGGAACATTGTCATAGTTAAACTTGCTAATATTAAAGAATCCCCATGTCCAGTAACCCGCGAGATGATAACCGTCGAATATCTTGCTATCTCAGTGGAGAACACATTGTCATCTATCAGTAAGTTAAAAGATATTTCCTTCTAATAACATGTGGTTACTTTACTGGTCACTGCTTTGGCCTGAATTGGCAATTATTTAAACTAGTTCGAATAGATTCCACAGTCTACTCTTTCATTTGATTTTGTTCCGTCTGTGTGAAGGATTTCGTAATAAGAGTAAGATCTCTCTGAGTAACAAATTTCTGACTAGCAAATCCGTTGTCAATAGTGAGCTTACCACGTTTGTTAACTTTTAGACAACGGATGTGTATAAAATTTAGATTTGAAAACGTTGCGTTGTCAACATTACATAGTGTTGTCGATGTTATTGAACATTGTTGTCAATTTGGTACCAGGCGTGTATATTTCTTTTTCCCTCTGAGTAATATTGCCGGAAAATTTTAAAAATGTTCATCTTGGGGAGAGAAACGTGTAATAAGTTTTTGGTTGCTTAAGTTAGAGAATTGCTACTCCTGCAAAGACCGGGTAGTTGGAAGGAAAACAGAAGTTCTTCTCTTGATCTTGAACGAAGATAAAAACAATTCGGCTGATCTTAAATGTGAATAAGAATTCAAAATGATTGAATAAATTACATTGGAATTATAGAAGAATATGATGAAGCAATTACATGTAGGAGTAGTCCAATCGACACTATTAAGAAAATTATTGGACGGGTGCGTAATCCTGTTGTTTATATCTCTGTCTGTTGCATTTACCGTTAACCAAAGTGACGTTTTCAGCAGTTGCATACTTTCGATCACAATAGCGTCATTCTAAGTCTGTGCACATCGTACGAAAAGAGGGAATATTGTGTAATAGCAAGCCAATTTCAGGATGTTGTTGCATTTTTGTCCTTATACAAAGATATACAACTGTAAAATGTAATTGATAATCTAAACTTTCGATTGGATAAATACCGATAAAACATTTGCAAATATATAATAAATAAAACAGTTAATGGACTAATTGGTGACATTCACTAATAAATCATTTCGATTTTCCAATTATTCTAAGAAAATACTTTTACCTGTACATGATTAGCATAAATTAGATCTTTAATTCTCAAATAATTGAAATTCTCCCCATTATTACTAAAAATCAAATTTAAATAAAAACGCTGTTAACACACCTTCGCAAAACTAAGTCTAAGTTATTGAACTTATTCAAATAGAATGTCAATATTTAGGCTGGTTAAATATATAATTCCGCATTTTACGATTATAATACCAAATATGTCAACTTTGTTTTTTTACTCTTTTTTTTTGTTAATCTAATGACCCATATACATACAAATAACAAGATTAAATTTCTTCAGGGATTCCAAAAAATCTTTATATATACATATATTTTTTTTTTTATAAAAAAAAATAAGCTGCATAAATACATATTTATTCGAAAAACAATAATAGTATTTAATGCATTTGCATATGAATTTACTTGAATTATTTGCACAGTGGTCAAGTGACAAAGAAAAAATAAACATAGTTCGTGTTTAACATATTGTATTTATGTAAATGTCAAATACTTTAATTAATCAAATCAGTTAGATGTTTAGTTGATGGACGAAGTCAATAAAAGATGAATAATATAACAATAGATTTTTCAACAACTCATCTATGAAAGAAATATATCCATTGTTTTAAATAATGGCTAAATAAATTGAAGGCGTGTAGTGGTTAAAAACTGAATTGAATAGGTTTAAGACTTGTTAGCTGATTGTAAACTTGTTAATCAGATTGCAAACTATCTAAATCTTAAGATGATATGAGCGAGAAACCTTTTGGCAATAATAATCTATAGCCTATTCTATAGTCTAGTCTATAGTCTAGTCTATAGTCTAGTCTATAGTCTAGTCTATAGTCTAGTCTATAGTCTAGTCTATAGTCTAGTCTATAGTCTAGTCTATAGTCTAGTCTATAGTCTAGTCTATAGTCTAGTCTATAGTCTAGTCTATAGTCTAGTCTGTAGTCTAGTCTATAGTCTAGTCTATAGTCTAGTCTATAGTCTAGTCTATAGTCTAGTCTATAGTCTAGTCTATAGTCTAGTCTAGTCTATAGTCTAGTCTATAGTCTAGTCTATAGTATAGTCTATAGTCTAGTCTAGTCTAGTCTATAGTCTAGTCTAGTCTATAGTCTAGTCTATAGTCTAGTCTAGTCTATAGTCTAGTCTATAGTCTAGTCTATAGTCTAGTCTATAGTCTAGTCTATAGTCTAGTGTATAGTCTAGTCTATAGTCTAGTCTATAGTCTAGTCTATAGTCTAGTCTATAGTCTAGTCTATAGTCTAGTCTATAGTCTAGTCTATAGTCTAGTCTATAGTCTAGTCTATAGTCTAGTCTATAGTCTAGTCTATAGTCTAGTCTATAGTCTAGTCTATAGTCTAGTCTATAGTATAATTTATAGTCTAGTTTATAGTCTAGTCTATAGTCTAGTTTATAGTCTAGTTTATAGTCTAGTCTATAGTCTAGTCTATAGTCTAG